CTAGACCGAGCGCTCCACAGTCTGCGGCCGCAGCGATACGGAGGCCAACAGATTTCGGTCGAGGACGGGGAGGACAACCACACTGGCAAACGTGCAGTCGATGTGGGCAGCCAATCACGTGGGCTCCCGCGCAAATAATGGACTCGCGCGTTTTTGGAGGATTTCAGGCATCCATGTTTTACGCCGGTAATCAAAGCTGATAAAGAGGTGATCGTGAGCGTGCCGTACGTCAAAACATAGGCGAGCCGCCAGTCAAACCATCAGGTTCAGGTGCGCCGGCAGTTTCCCGGAAAACAGCAACTGTCGCCTTTTCCTGTAACGGCCACGAGTATAACGACCTGTAGTCCTGAAGCAGCCATGAGTACAACGCCCTGTGGTCTAAACCCGTTACGACTGTGTTATGTCAACTACACGCGTGCACAGCCCGGTTCGCTGAGATCAAAATCCATCGAAAGATTTAAGCAATGCTCTATGTATATTTAAGCAATACTCTGGTCACACTCCTAAAATATCGTGGATAATTAAACATTACTGATTTTGCCTGGATAGCCGAATTAATAGTCAGCCGCACAACCAGCTGATGTTCGTCAATGTGCAGGTGCTGTCATTTGTACATTAAAACACGAACGCAATACCAGTAGAACTTGCACGCGAAACCCTGCCAAACAATGCGTTGAGCATGCATGCGTTTCCGTATACACACATACACACACAATATATATATATATATATATATATATATATATATATATATATATATATATATGTGTGTGTGTGTGTGTGTGTGTGTGTGTGTGTGTGTGTGTGTGTGTGTGTGTGTGTGTGTGTGTGTGTGTGTGTGTGTGTGTGTGTGTGTGTGTGTGTGTGTGTGTGTGTGTGTGTGGTGTGTGTGTGTGTGTGTGTGTGTGTGTGTGTGTGTGTGTGTGTGTGTGTGTGTGTGTGTGTGTGTGTGTGTGTGTGTGGTGTGTGTGTGTGTGTGTGTGTGTGTGTGTGTGTGTGTGTGTGTGTGTGTGTGTGTGTGTAAATATATAAATATCTATTCATTGGTTTTGGCACCATCTGCATACGAGTTGTGTTAATTGACAGCTATTACGTCTTAATCATCTCGGTCGTCGCCTGCCGAACAGCACACTTTGCTGGCCCTTATGTGATGACAAGTCACGTTCAATATTTGCCGCGTAGCGTAAATGTTTACCTAACAATCTGGGGCAAAATGGAAAGTTTATCAATTTAAATAGCTTCGATGCCAGCATTCGAAGAGGCTGAGCGGAGTGTTGGGCGTCTTCCATTTTCTCGGGGCGACGTGGCGTGACGGGAGCGTGACGTGACGGGAGCGCGTGCGAATGGGGCAACCGAGCCTGCGCGGCGCGCCTGACAGTGGGCTCGCGACTGCCCGTCCAATCATCGTCAACAGATCAATGGAGGTCAGGCCGCCGCTGATGTGCTTCGATCTGGCGACAGAACGCTGCCCGTCCGACCGTCGCGGGCATGGCGAGGGCACATCCTGTGCCCCTCGCGTCCTACAGCGTGGCATGAACCGACGCCGTCAAAGTCACGTGAATTGTGGTCAGAGTGCGGCCGCTAGGCCAGAGGCACGAGCAGAGCGCAGTCTCCCGACGGCGCGCTGGACACAGCACATGGGAGCCGTGGGAGTAAGCGGCGGAGCATCTGCAGCGGCCCGGGCTAGGATCGGTGCCGGCCGCTGGGCGGCGCCACTCACCCTGTTAGCTTGCAGCAGCTCGCGCGTGAAAATGATGCTATCGGGCGCGCGGCCGGCGCACCGGTCGGCGGTGATGCCCTCGGCGTCCAGTTCGTCGCGCGACGAGGTCGACTTGAGCTGGTCGGGGGAGAGGCGAGGCGTGGGCAGGCTGGGCAGCCGGCCGGAGCGGGGCCGGCCGGAGTCGAGGCGTCCCTTCTCCAGCGGCTCGCCCGCCGGCCACACTGTCGACGCGCACACACCGTCCACGCGGCCGATAACGTAGTTCAACAGCTGCTTGATGATGATGGAGACGATGTTGAAGAGCGAGTACATGCAGCACACGCCGGCGACCGTGACGAGGAAGTTGGCGACGCCGTACCACTGAGCGGCGCCGTAGAAGTGGTCGGGTCGAATGCCGGCCACCATGTCGCCGAACCCGATAGTCGCGAACGAGACGAACGTGTAGTAGATCGCGCGCAGGTAGTCCCAGCGCTCCATGCTCAGGTAGAGCGCGGCGCCGAGCTGCAGCACGAGACAGGTGCATACCAGCAGGTACAGCAGCACCCAGTACACCGACGGCTTCCACTTGCCGGCCTGCGAAGCCTGCGAGCTGAGGCTGTCGGGTCGCGAGAGGCGCGAGGGTGCACGCGACATCGCCATCCGCCGCTCCACCTGCCACGAGTGGTACACGCGCATGACGTGCGAGAGCAGCGTGATGAAGCGCTCGAGGAAGAGGTTGAAGAAGAGGATGCCGCCGGCGCAGCCCAGGATGCCGTAAACGATGAGGCAGATCCGGCCGACAGTGGTCTGCGGCGCCGTCCATCCCCAGCCTGGCGGCATAGACGCACAAGATGAGCGGGAGTGGGAAGCCGTCCATCCCCAACCTGGAGACACGGACACATGAGACGAGGGGGAGTGCGAGGCCGTCCACGCCCAGCCTGGCAACACAGACGTGTGAGGTTAGCGAGCAGGAGTGGGAGGCTGTTCAACCCCAGCCTGGCAACACAGACGCGTGAGATTAGCGAGCAGGAGTGGGAGGCTGTTCAACCCCAGCCTGGCAACACAGACGCGTGAGATTAGCGAGCAGGAGTGGGAGGCTGTTCAACCCCAGCCTGGCAACACAGACGCGTGAGATTAGCGAGCAGGAGTGGGAGGCTGTTCAACCCCAGCCTGGCAACACAGACGTGTGAGATTAGCGAGCAGGAGTGGGAGGCTGTTCAACCCCAGCCTGGCAACACAGACGCGTGAGATTAGCGAGCAGGAGTGGGAGGCTGTTCAACCCCAGCCTGGCAACACAGACGCGTGAGATTAGCGAGCAGGAGTGGGAGGCTGTTCAACCCCAGCCTGGCAACACAGACGCGTGAGATTAGCGAGCGGGAGTGGGAGGCTGTTCAACCCCAGCCTGGCAACACAGACGTGTGAGATTAGCGAGCAGGAATGGGAGGCTGTTCAACCCCAGCCTGGGAACACGGACGCACGAGATGACCGGAACCAGGGGTCAAGCCGCGGACGTCATGACTTTGGCAAGACCGGGGCCAGTCGTGACCGCGCCGTGCCAGAAAAGGTAAGTCTAGGCACAGGATTGGTAAGTGTGATACTTCGGTGCGATGCTGATTTATATAGTGTGTATTTAAATTATGTTCTCCCGCCATGCCCCCTCAACATGAAATTCAGATTTTTGCTTGGAAATTGCGCGAGCAATTTGATGATGAACTCAGCGATCATTTCAACCCTTAATCCGCTTCCGACAGAAAATAGCGTGCATGTTTAACGACACTCATGATACTGTAGTGCAAAATCATTTCACAGCTTTGTCTCGCATGACTCAGGACATCCCAAGACGACGTTTCTGTACATGAAATCGTGCAAAACCGCATATTCAAACATGTATCGAACAACGTCGGCCTTGATCGTTCTAGGAATTCCTAGAAATTCCAGGGTTGAAAGTAGCAGAGTACGTATGAAGTATAGCAGACTCAGCTGACCGAAACTGCGTGGCTGTGGGCTGAAGGCCTGTGGGGATGTAAACTGGGGTTAGTTCAATCAATGGTTTTATCGATAGGGAAGAGAAACAAATACGCAAGCTTTTTGTTATCAGATGCAATGGCACGAGGCGTGTTCGTCGTTAGTTTTACACGCTGCTTAACCACTGCATTAAAAGCCATTGGTGACTCGTCTGGCGTGTGAAATTAAAGCCCTCGCGACCGCCTCGCAGGGTGACATCAACCACCCGTGAGCATCAACAGCATCAACATCAACCACCCGTGAGCACAACAAACACCAACTGAAAACAAACTGCCTGATCTCCAGAACGTTGAACCGCGACGTTGAAGTTTAGTCGTCGATTTCTGCCACATGAGCAAAACATATTTAGGCACGATGAAAGGCAGGAAAAGGCCTGACTGCAAAAGAACAAAGTGAGCTCTATCATCAATGACGCTGTTCTATCCACGCTGTGGCACCCGGAATCAAACTGGGATTGCTGCTGTTCGGGCACAACCGCGTCCGATGCGTCTGGACGAGGCAGCTTATCACCGCAGTATGTGCATGGGTCTGGACGAGGCAGCTCATCACCGCAGTATGTGCATGTGCCTGGATGAGGCAGCTTATCACCGCAGTGTGTGCATGGGTCTGGACGAGGCAGCTTATCACCGCAGTGTGTAGATGCGCCTGGATGAGGCAGTTTATCACCGCAGTGTGTAGATGGGTCTGGATGAGGCAGTTTATCACCGCAGTGCGTGGATGGGTTTGGACGAGGCAGCCTATCACCGCAGTATGTAGATGCGTCTGGACGAGGAAGCTTATCACCGCAGTATGTGGATGGATCTGGACGAGGCAGCTTATCACCGCAGTATGTGGATGGGTTTGGATGAGGCAGCTTATCACCGCAGTGTGTGGATGGATCTGTATGAGGCAGCTTATCACCACAGTATGTGGATGCGCCTGGATGAGGCAGCTTATCACCGTAGTGTGTGCTTACGGTACGCATATTCTGTTACGTCAAGGTAGGCATTCCAGATATTCTCAGACATCCATGCATGGTGCATGAGGTATGTGGTATCGGAGTTAGTGCTTCGATAGACCTGACGCAAAAATGTTGTCTTGTAGTTCTGATAAACACGCATGCCATATGCTACTACTGAACGGCGCAAGTAGCCATTACGGTTGACGCGCCCGTAAAACCCAATAGCCAACTACTACTGAACAATGTATCAGCACGGGCCTGGTGGAGAACAGCGAACGACATTATGCGTATACATACACATCCATAGCTGTCTTTTCACCCATACCATGAGCGATGTTGCAGGCTGAGGAATTCCTTACGTCGGGTAGGGGGAAGTCGTTTGGCTTCAGCGGCTGGGGCCGACCAGTCACGACTTTGACGGGCTTATATCATTCATTTATCGACATTAGATCGCCCTGAGCCTGTCCAGCTTGGTTAGCGTTTTGCAGTACACTGTCCAATTCGGTCTCAAATTTGAAAAGAATACCGTAAGTTGCAAAACGCATCATGTTGCGGCGGACTCATTTCACTCGTTGCAAGCACGTCAATCACCGCTGGCGGGGCTCTTTTCATCTCGTGCACCGCCTGTCCGGTGTAGCTGTAAGAGGCGATAGCCGACGGACGGTCTGTGGCGACCTGCATGCAGACCATGGGGCTGACTGGGACTGGGACACCAGACGCAGACGGTGTGACCGGCGGGACAGACTGGGACTGGGACACCAGACGCAGACGGTGTGACCGGCGGGACAGACTGGGACTGGAACACCAGACGCAGACGGTGTGACTGGCGGGACAGACTGGGACTGGGACACCAGACGCAGACGGTGTGACTGGCGGGACAGACTGGATGCGAGACGCCTGGCGACTCAGGCCGGCCAGCGTGGTGCTCCGCTAGTCACCCGCGTGCTTCTGATCCCGCCTGACATGACTACCCTGCTCTGCCACAAGGCTTCCCTCTTCAGGTGAGATCAGGTTTGTAAATTTGCTGGAAACGCTGAGATACAATACAAAGACCTAGTCTTCAATTTCCAAAGTTGAGCTCATGTGAAGAGGGCATGTCTACCGAAATGCAGAGGGTTTTATAACTTATTGTAGCGCATTGAAATCTGAGACCGAAATGAACAGCCTACCGTGCAGTAACTTATGTTTTGGCGACTACTGGCGTAACAGCATGATTTTGTGGGGAATAATTAGCAAAGGGTATCTTTCAAGTTCCAATAGTGTGCTTTTCAATTATAATACGCGTAGAGGGTTTTTGGCGGTGTCAGCATTTTCTCTTGAACGCGTCAGCATGGTTGTCAGCAACTGCTCTTTACACAGGTACGCTAGTTGGGTCTGCCGTATTTTGTGCAACCCGTTTTGTTTCACTTGCGATCGCAACGGGTCATAAAACTGAACAAAGCGGAATGGAATCCAGCAAAAGGCTGCAACCATGAAGAGAACATATGAGTGAAATATTTGCGCCCATCTTTTCACTCATCTGGTCAACCAAAGTTCAAGTGATAAAATTTGAAACCTGACATTAAGGAATAGCTGCGCTCATTTTGTGTTACCCAGACCAAAAGTGTTCACGTATACATGTTCTTTCTTTCTTTGTTTTTGCTTTATCACCTCTTATTGTTAAGTTGCGCCCGGCCGGGAGTCTGAGACAACAGTGCCCGTCCGGGGAAAGTTGGCTTCCTCCTGAAATCTCCAACTTCCCGATGTCGGACGAGAAATACAAAGATACTGCTGTAAAGGTCCCGTCAAATCATGAATAATAAAACCAATTTTTTACCCCAGGTCAAATGTAAGGCCACCAGAGATCACGAAGGAGAAAAACGTCCGTTTTGATAGATGTGGTTGAAATACATGTCAGCACGTCAAGACGGATATTGAGGGTACAAAAGTAAGCGCTAAGACTGTGGAGTGTCCATTTCGACCACTTTTATTCCCTCAAAAGAGTCAGGTGAGGTCTGACCATTGTGAAAAACTGGTCCACCAGTAGCCTACAGGAACGACACTTCTTTATTTCTTTCACAGTAAAATATCCCACACACAAAAACATACTTAAGGGCAACCTAGAGGTCAGCTGAGGTCAACTAAGCTCAAATTCGTAAACCAATGAACTGGAAAATGAAAGTGCTAACTGGATCTAAGTGACGTGTACAATATTTCCCTGTGGTCAGAAATAGTGTGCATTCCATCTACAGGTACTTAAGACCGCACAGTTTGCGTATATATTATACCTAAGCCTTTCAACACTTCTCAAAGTATTTGTAACAAACTGAGAAGAGGCACGTTGGCACATGAAACCATGCGTCAGCAGCTGCACAAAGGCGATGTGGAGATAGTTACACGCGTCGCACTCGTTCATCTAGCCTCTGCACTACCGACAACAGAGCTCATTGACCTGTGATGCCCTCATATGACCTTGCTTGTCCTCAAGTGATCTATTATGATCTCATTATGCATTATAATGATATCACATGTTTTCAATGAAAATTCTAAACCGGCGCCCAAAATTACCAAATTACCTAAATTACCTAGTGCGACTTTATTTTGAGCTCAGTATGTGTTTTACAGAAGGCACCCAAGAGATAGGTCATGACCTGGGCCAATGGTATGTTCTTGGTACGCCCTTGCCTTTGACAGGCATGCTCGCGGCCGGTGGCAGCGGTCGCGCTGAAGGTCAGTTGACGCCAGAGGGCAGGACGGACCTTGCCGGGCATTGTGGCACGTTAAACTTTCGCTGCTAAATTCTGCCGTTGACATGGAATTACGCGATCGGGTGGTAGGGGTCAGAGCTCACACAACAATTAGTGTTTAGCGTGAGCTCTGATCCCA